GTATTTCACCTTTTATGAGACTTCTTGGAATACTTGTAAACTAACTAATTGCATCATTCAAATAATTTATTTCACTGTGCAGACTCCAACAGCCGAATAAATTTTTATAGTGAAGGTAATTCTCACTAAAAATAAAGCTAGATGAATCTTCCATTTGCTTTTCGTTTTATATTTTGTTTTTTGCATTACCATGTTGTATAATATTATATGTACTAAGAGTACTTTATTAAAAAAAAAAAAACGTCTGGCGTGAAACGTAATATTAATCGCGTAATAATTTAGTTGTTGGTTTAAATATAATCAAATATTTTAAATTACTCAATGAAACTTTGGACAGTAGTTATGCTGAACTAAAAGACGGACGGATAGACAGACATACGAGTGATCCTACAAGGGTTCCGTTTTTCATTCGGTTGTACGGAACCCTAAAAACCAATATGTACATTGTAGTTGAAAAAAAAAATAACATGTTCTCCCATATATTCAAACTGCAAATGTAAATTTCTACGCACGATATATAAGCAAGTCGGATTAAGATTTATAAGATTTGTATATATGTTTAAGTTTATTGTATTATTCCACCTGTGTGGCGAAATAATTGCTATGGATTCGTCATCATAGTTATCTAAGTTTACTTTTGTTCCTTTTTGCTTCTAATCCTGGTTCTAATATGTCTTTAGTACCTATCTAGTTAGCCGTTCATGTCTGAGAAGGTGTCCTACCAACCTATCTGGCCTATTCCTTATTGAGTTCTATTGCGTCCTCTGTTCTTCTACGCCGTGCCCATCATCCGCGTTTCCCCCTTTTATTGGTTCGTGCTCCAGTTATATTTTTAAGAATCTGTTTGGAATTTCCGAATTAACTTCTTCTAGAACTCTTTCCATCTTCAATTATCTGACTCCCTGAATATCGAAAATAGGCGTCTCCTCCTACTTTTACATTAGTTCTAACTCTAAATTTACATCCCTTATATACTTACTATTATTTTTGGATTAACAAAAAAGAAAATGTTTTGTAACAAATAGATTGTTGTGTTTTTCTGTTAAATGAAGTTACAGGATGTGAGGATTTCAGCCAACAGCTGTCGTTATCAACTTCCTGTCTAGGAAAAGAGTTATTATTTTGTAGTTTCAAGATGAAAAGTTTCTGTCACAAAAAAGTACGGAAAACGCACTTATAGTTAGAATAGGAACTAACTAACGAGTAGATACATACTTGAAAAACAAACGTATTTTTGTATATAAATATAAGCAAGTATGTATGTAAGTATATGTATTTCGACTTTTTTTTTAAAAAATCTGGGCAATTGTCATTAGATATATTTCGAAAATTTATCTCAAATGTTTCCTAGGTTGTTTTGGTTATATATTCATATAAGTTACAAAACAGATATATTTATATAAGAATCTAAGAATGGAATATTTTCGTGATAACAANATCGTGTTTTTAAGTAAGTAGTCCTTATATAAATAAAACGAAAAGTAAAAAAATGTCGAGTGTTTTTTGTATGGAAGTGTTCCTATACTACAACATTACTTTTAATTATTTATCGATTGGACCACTACGTTTATGAAAGAAATTCATTCTTTTGCAATGAAATTAGTTTCATGTTAGGAATATTTAGACGAATCCATTTTTTTTAAATATATATACTTATTTCTCCTTTTTAACACGGCCATACGTGTTAAGTTTTTTGATGTGTTCTACATGTTCCTCAATAGCAGGATACCAATCATTACCGGTATAATCAATTTCGGGAAGTTCTCCGCCATAATTCTTTGGTAAATGAGACGGCGCCAAATGCTGGTGTAAGGATGGCATTTTGTCTCCATGGAAGTACATCTTTAAAATGAAGAGTAAATTAATGAAGATTGAAAAAATAAGCTCAAAAACGTTAAAATCTATAAACTTTTGTTTTCATTGTAATGTTAATTTCATTTTTATTGGTTCTAGAAATAAATAGGAGTGAAACACGTGTTTATAATACATTTTCTAGAATTTCCGTTCGAGATATTCCAAAAAACTGAAATTATATATTTTTAAGCTTCTTGAGCTTGCATTGAGGAAATTTGTGGATTCATAATATGATTATAATTATAAATCAAAATTTTATGGCAAATGGCAAAGCTTTTAAAACTTTAGAATAATATTTATTTAGGGCAAATTTCTTTGATCTCGCATTTCTTTTAGTCTTTTAGAATCGGAAACAATGTACATTTGTAGTAGTGCCAGAATAAAATATATGCAACATCGAAACTTTAAGTGATAAGGTTGGTTTTGCTAGTATAAGTTTTTGTAAAAGAAAAAGAGACATACCCTTGACTTTAGCTTTTCCTTTATGAAAGGTTTAAACATGCTCCATACAGCTTTAAAGATGAAGGGTTGTTTGACCATATGCACCTCCTTAAGTCTTAAAGGCATTGCTTGCTGAATGAATGACAGTAATCTCATGCTGAAGGTAATACTCAAAGCTGCAACTTGTTTATAAGAGAGACCTTCGAAATCCATTATCACAACTACACCCCGAACTTGGGTTTCCGGTTCCAAAATTGCAGCTTCATGAATCAAATAAAATAGCCGGAACAACTGGTCAGCAGTGACTTTGGAAGTGTTCCAGGTGCCTAAAAATAGAATAATTGTCTATTAATGAAAATTTTGTCAAAATTCCATTCAAAGGTTAAGTATGGTATTTAAAATCGCGATGCAATATTTAATTTGTTATTAAAGTCGATTAAAAATACAGACAAACTTCCGTACTTCAGGTCTCCTAAATGCAACCAGTTTTGTTCGAGCTAGAGAAAATTCGAATCAAGGAAAACTTGTGCTTTACCGTCAAACTTTTTATTTTAGTTATCGCCTATACGATGTCAAACAATACGAATACTTCGTGTCTTTTTCTGCAGTAACAATATGACCCTAAATTAAACGTTCTTTTTTTAATGTTCTCTATAATATAATATTGACTGTCACTATAAACATTTATGGTGGTAATAATTCCATTCAAAGCATCAATTATCGTTGAGGTTGATTTTTCCGAAGAAAATTGGTAGAAATTCTAGTTAAAGAGAGTTCGGAATAAATGTAAAACAGTATGTGTGCCAAGGGAAAAAAAAATTTGAGTTAGAAAAAATTTTGCGTCACAGAAGTTCGACTGCAATAAAGTATATTTTCATGCTCAATTTTTTGGAAGTGTGCTTTGTAAAAATTAATGTTTTAAGTATTATGCAAAGTGGCTAATAAATCAATTCCACAAAATGTATAAATTGTTTGCAACTTTTATGACTTTGGGATACAATTTCAAACTTATGCGGTTGATAATGAAAGTTTTAAATGTTAATTACATATTATTATGATTGTCGATATGTAATAGATAAATCATTAAAATAATTTTTTGTCTGTCCCCATAAGAAAACAACTTTAAATACCGCGTAATTATTTCAAACATTTTTTTGTAGTATTTAGACGTAGTATTTAATTAGAATGCACCTTTCTTGGCTTTGTTTTAATTTTTCACACACCAGAAGGTAAATGCAATAATATTAATAATAGCAATTTAAAAATAAGAATGCAAGAAAACGCAATAGCGTTTGTTTTAAATATTGAGTTAATTATCTCATAAAAAGTGGAATATTAATAAATAAAAAAAAGACTTTAGCAATTACTACATACACACCTCCACAATTAACAATTAACACCCGTCGTCCTTTGTGATCTCTGTCTTTCAATACATTCACTACATTATGATTCACAAATGCGTCTTTTTCATCCTCTGGCAGAAGATTATCCAAAAGGGCTTTATTGTTTTCTTTAAAATCAGCAATACGTTTCATCTGTAATAAAAATCGTTAGATACATAAGTATGTGCCAAAAAACAAAACTCAAACAATTTACTCTATTTTCCCATTATTAATAATCAATTGTTTAATCGAAGCCAATTTGGGTTTAAAAGTAATTTTTTTATTTAGTAAAAAAAACTTATTTTTATACAATTGCGAGTTATTTTAAACTAACTAATGCGTACTTTTTCAAAAAAGGAAATCCATCTGCTTTGATGATTACTGAATTCAAAAACTAGTCTTGAGAAATTCCAACAATTTAGGGCGTACCTTCGGCGGATTTTTTAATAATAATTAACTGGTTGTTTTCCAATTTGGCTTTGATTGTACAATTTTCTAATAATTTATTGTAACAGTCGTTTTTTACTTTACGAAAATTCATTATAAATAAATTAGCTTGGCTTAGTTTTCACCATTTAATTTCAAATTCTTAACAATCACTTCACCCTACAAAGGCATATGTTCAGAAGACGCAATGATTTCCCATTTTAACGAATTACGTATTCCTAAGATGCCGTTGTAGGGTGAAGCAATTGTTAAGAATTTAATATTAAGTGGTGGAATTTATGCTGAGCTTATTTATTCATCTTATTAAAAAAATTGTGAGTTTTTTGTTTAAAGACAAATTATATAAACAACAATTTATGTTATATTCTATTTATCGTTGTTAGACAGTAATTATCTTTATGTTTTTATAAATTGTGAAAGTCAGTGCTACAAGTATTACTAAAAATTATTGTATGTTTCAATAACAATTATTTGTAGGTACTCCCACCTGTTTACACAGAGTTATTTGAAAAAATTACTATATTTGTATTATAACCAAATTGTTTGAAGATGACTGCATGTTGCGTAACTAAAACTAATTGAAAATTGCAATAATATTATTTCATGTGTAAAACAATTTTATTGTTGCTTGGGGTAATTTGACAAAAGCAATATTGCATGCCTAAGCTAGTTTGCTTGTCGTTAAGCAAATCTTGATGACATCCATATTTTTATGCATGTATGAATATATTATTTTTAAGTAAAAAGAAAGGAAGAATGTCAATTGTTTTCTGCCTATCATTTTTGTTTGCTTTAAATGCAACTTAATTGTCACCTTGTTCTTTATTTATCTTTTGTTAAATAACGGCAAGGTGTTTAATAGTCACGGCAACTTTTACAATGATCAATGAGTTAATTATTAGATATTGTTAATATACGACAAATAGCAGTTGTGGGAAGAAGGCAAATAAACAAATTATTTTAAATGAAAATGGAAACCAAAATTCTTGTTGCCATTTAACTTTCGAACATAACAATGCAACGAAAACTTTCTTTCTAATAGTGAGGTGTTTTTCTTACACATCCTTCTAAAATATTTGTTTAAATCTTTGTTTATCAGTACGTTTAGGTACTTACAGATCTTTTAAAACAATACAATTTAGAGTAATAAAGAAATAATAGTGATAAAAATTTTGAAGAACTGACACCAAAGTTCGTTTAAATGTAGAGCATTGTACTAAATATTGACATATGAAAATAACTTTGCTTTTATAGATAATATGGATTATTAATCGATAAGTACGTGATCTCGATGATATTACGCGTGATGTAAAGTACAAAAATCCAATTATCAACCTGCATTCTCGTGTAAGATAAACAGCGTTGTTCTACTTATTAACCAAAGTAAATTCCTTTGTTTCTGTTTTTCTTACCAATTCGTATGCACTTTTGGCGTAGAATTTGCAGGGCCTTAAGAAAATTAAAAGAAATTCATCATCATCTCGGAAATAAATGGTGTCGTCATTTTTCAAAAGTTCTCGCAGTTCTTCGATCGCTTTCTGTACGATTTCCGGTGTTTCTCTCAGTTCTTTTAAAGCAAGTTCTTTTGCTTCGGGGGATAATGGACCAAGTTCCAACTCGAAAGGATTACCTTTAGTCATCTAGTACATTAATAAATAATTAGCCTTTTATACATTTGTTTTAGTATATCGCCTAAATTTTATTGTGATAGTAATTGTACATCAACAGATTCCGATAAATTCAAAGGCTATCTAAAAGATAACTTTGTTTTCTGAAAGCTAACAAAATTTTCTTCTTGAATTTACTTTATTAATTATTTGGTAAACACATTTTTGGTCAATTTGTTTTGAATGAATTTCTAGGTCAGCAAATATGAAATGTTATCATCGAAAGATACTTTTGCGATTAATTTATTGAACTCAAACTTCTTTTTATGTGGTTGATAAGAACAATAATAACTTATCACTTATAAATCAGTTTTGTTGTCAAGGGGTTTTCATTAGAATTGTCTGAATAAAGAAAATTTAATTGATTAGTTTTCCTTTTAAAGAAAGTTTCAATTTTGTTTTTGATTGCAATTTTTTTGTATGTAATTAGGTAAAAAATTACCTTATTAGTTTTTGCTTAATTAATGAATGTACGTAAATCATAAAACCTATGACAGTACTTTATGTCTAGTTATACTTGTTAACTAAAAAAGTATGCCACTCAAACTAAAGTGGAATATTACCACAATTTGGTTCTTTACGTAAATCTATTGAACTAAGTTTCGGAAAAAAGCAACAATAAATAGCAATTTGAATTTAAAATCATGCAATGACGAACACAGTCAATTTTGCATGTGCTTCCTTCACTTTTAACTACAATTACAACTACATAGAGACGGAACTGAAAATTGTCCAAAAAAATCGAAAAAACTAAAACAATATAACATTAATCCCAATATTTATATGTAGGTACATAACTGCCAAAGGGTGTGGTGCGGTATCTTTTTTAAACAATTATTAAATTATTCTATTTGTTCAAATACATACTAATCTTAAGAATGCTTTATCGATAAGAATAGAATTTAATGTTTATGCTGAAAGCTTTTGTTCTTAATTTTTAATAAAATTTGACTTACCTTTAGGTAATCAATTGAAAACGTTGGTGTTAATTTCACAATTCAATGATGGTCTGTGATTGTTCGACGTTTAGTGTAATACAATCAAATTGTTTATGATAGTGGAGTGGAAAAAATGTCAACATCCAACCACCAGTCGACACTTTATGCCAATGAACAAAACGCATTAGTCAAACAATCTTTATACATATATTTTCTTTCGTCTCATTATCTATATTATACTTTGTTCGATTCAAAGTTCAGATTTAAAACTCTTTCATAAGTTTTAGTTCGATCGACTTATCTTTAAGTAAGTCAGAGTTGGCGGATACATGTAGATACATAGATATATATGGATATGCGTAATGAATGTGAAGGATCAAGGGTCATCGAAAAACTTAAATTCTCACACAATAGCTGATTAGAAATTTATCGATAAGATAATTATTTAATTTAATCTTTTACCTAATTTTGTATTTACTATGTTAAATTATATTGTTTGTTTCAATAACAATTATT